AGAGATGGAGTGCTTGGGACAGGAACCTGCTGAGCAAATCGTGCCTGAAATAAGACTCCCCACCAGAACATAATAAAATCTCTGTCCTCAGTACCACAGTTTTTCTGTTTTATACAAGTTTTAGCCCCATTAGTGATTGAATGTCTCAGAGGCAGAGGGAGCACTGGTATTTTGGTCCTTTCAACAAGTCCCTATTTCTTACTATCTATCCCTTGTCTGTCAGGTTTTACACACTTTAACAAAAATCCCTCAAACTTGGAAGACTTAAAAGACTAAAAGAAAACAAAATGTGAGCTCTTTGGATTTTTCTTCTATCTCTTCCTTCTAATAATCTTATCAGAAAGATGCTTGACTTGTTAAATTTGCTGAAATATTTGTTCCTGATAAGCCTTATCAAGCACCCGTTGTGCTCCTCCTGCAGCCTGCGAGTGCCCTCTGGTGTTTGCAGTTCTGGTGGCAGCAGGATGCTCCGGGTACCAGCAGCAGGATGCTCCGGGTACCAGCAGCAGGATGCTCCGGGTACCGCCTGGCAGGGGCTGCCGGAGCCACAGCCGGCCCTACTGGGCAGCCTTCAGCTGGAGCGCATTCCTGGCCAGAGGAATGCATTGCAGCAGTGAGACACACTCGTTGTTTGCCTCTTCTGCTAAATTGATCTGCTTTTTTCACAATGCTGTTGTTTAATATTCCTTGACAGACTTGTCCAGGAAATCCCTGTTGTTGTGCAAGAGAAGCATGCTGACCTGTCTGTTGATTTCTCAGTCCTGCAGTGCAGAAGAGGTGACACTGATGAGCAGCCACACATTGCTTTTTCACCTTCTTCCCCCAAAGCCACCATCTATTTTGTTTTGCCTGGGTTGGTTGTTTTGCTGAATGACTAATCAGCTGCCTAGTCATCCATTTTTCTCAAAATGCCAGAGAGCTTCAGCTGCTCTAACACACCCTGAAAGCCTTTGGCATTTTGGGGTCACTGGTCTGTACTTGCTGTCAGTGCCAATACTGTTTGATTTTCAGTATGCGACTTTATGCCTTGTGCAAAGCTGCATGTGGCCAGGATGTTTAACTGCAGTGTCCATGGTTCATAAATTTTTAACCCACAAAACCCAACAGGGAATAGTAAGGAAGCCCAAAACAGGGGTAATGTGTGTGCATGTAAACCAACACTTCAGCTCTGTGTCTTTCAAAGCAAATAACAAGCAGGATTTCACCTCAGCACCACAGGCCAAACTAGGAAGAATATTTTAACATGTTGTTTAAGCTAGAAGGGAGTCTTCCAAGGGAGAAAGCATCAGCCAGAAAAAGAAATAGCAAGATACAAAGAAGAAATTGAGCTATTTCTTTTTTTAAAAGCTGAGAATGCATCCCTGAATGTGGGCAGATAGGGAACAATTTATTAAACTACCAGGTCCACTTAGAAGGATATTTAAATTTATTAGCAAACTCAAAGTAACAGGGAATGAATAAATGAGCTGTTACAAATGGGAAAGAAGAAATAAATGGTAATATAGATTATTTTTGCTGTCAGTTAATATTTAACTCAGAAATGCCATTAGTCCATGAACCCAGTGTCTGAAACCTCTACACTGGTTTTAGACAGCAATATCTTTCAAAGTGTATAAATTAAACAAGAAATTGTTACTGACTTGGGTCACGTTTCAAAGCTTCTATCGGTAGCAGTCGTAGGAAGCACTGAGAGGCTTCACGCATGTGGATGCTGAAGATTCTTCATACATACAAAGATGCTGAAGAGTCCCTCGTTGTTCTGGTTTGTGGCAAACACAATGGTAAGCTTAGGCCCATGCTCTATTATTTCACTGTTTCACATACCAGCACTTCATTTTGTCAGTTCAAGTTTCAATTTGTGAGGCTGAGCCCACTGGGAAAGTGGATGTGGAGTTGAATCTGTTTTCTCTTATTTGCCTTCTCTGTTTTTGGTACCCTGACCCTCACTTCCCATGTGCAGGGGGTGTCATAGCAGTGACAGCAATTCTGTAAAATTGCTGGGAAGAGATGTATGGCCTTTGATTTCAGCTGTGACAGGACTTGAGATACTTTAGCTAGAAGTACACAGAAAACCTGGGACCCACTACTGAACTCCAGGGAAAATACTTTGGCCTGATAATAGCGTTGATGACTTATTTTAAATGATCCACAGGACCAACATGTTTCTCTAAAATGTTCTCCATGAAAAGATTTGTTTGTGTTTCTGAAGTGACTCAGATTCAGCAGAGATGGGAAGCACATGGGAAGAGCTGATGACAGCTTAGGATGGGCTGAACTGAAGGCATTGAGCCTCTCTAAAGAATTGAGCAGGAAGGACTGCAGAAAGTGTAAAAACAAGAAAGGAGGTGGCTTGGGAAATGTTTATGGTCAGACATAGCTTAGTAGGCCAGGACTAGTCAAATAGGAAGGAGGGGAAGAGGAAAGATGCCAAAGAGCTTTGAAAGAAATGGACTTGTTAATGCTGAAGATGGGGAGCTGTGCTCATAAGCAGCTGCCTATGTAGGAATGGGAAGAGCACCAAGGGTGTAATGCAGCACCTTTTGTTTTCTTGTGGATAAACCTTTGAAACTTCCAGGACAGCAGTCAGCACTGAGACCCAGCTTAAACCAGTGCTCTTGGAGGCCACCTCAGGAGCAGGGTCTGGGTGTGAGTGAGCTGAATACAGGTTTGCAGCCTGGTGCACACAGGCACAATCACAGTGGAAAGATCAGTGGAGAGGAATTTTCCCTGCTGCTCCTGGGCTCTATTGCAGAGCATGGCTGGCTGTGCACATGAGCAAAGTGGGCTGCTACCTGGAGGGCAGGTTCTGCTCTGCTTGTATCAGAGGTGATAGGTTTTGACAGAACAGCATGTTCTCTACAGCTGAGTTCTCTCCTGAGTGCAGGGGCCTTGGCTGATGGAAGGCCTAGTGTATATGGGAGAAAGTTCCTCCTGTGAATGAGGGACTGGCATCAGCCCTCCCAGCAGCACCAGTGGTCACTGTCCTGCTGCCTGGGCTGCAGGACCAGTAAGCTGTGTTCTTCAGAGCTTCCCACTGGGCTCTGCCTCAGCCAGTCCTCTGCATGGAGCAATGGCCAGGGAGAGGAGGAGTAAAGAGGAGCTGGTGAATATGGGAAGAGGAGAATTTCCTGACTCTTTTCCAAGTCCCTCTGAAATAGCTGCTCTCCTCCAAACCTGAACTCCTCCTTACAGGTTCTTAACCATCAGTCAACTTGGTGCAACACCGAGCCTTTGCTTCTGTGCCATCTTTGACTGCTCAGCTCTCTGCCCTCTTTCAGGCTCTCCTTCTATCCCTTCCTCACATCTCTTGACTACAGCCCTAAACCAAGATATTACTGAGAAGCCCAAGGCCAGTTCTGTTGTAAAAACCTGCTTTAGTAGGAACACTGGTAGTGGTCAAAGTGCCAGTGTGTCTTTTTCCAAGGGATTTTTTGTGGCATTTCTGTATAGAGGGCAAAAGCAAGGGTTAATGCTGTGACAGTCTGAGGTCAGGGGATTAAGAATATATTGTATCTGCAGTTAGACAGATCTTCCTGTTCTTCCTCTATTATAATTATGGTTGTAATTACAGTCAGTTGTAGGGCATCTAAGTGAAATTCATCCACAATATAAATGCCTGAAACTGAGCAGGAAGGCAGAAAACATTGAGATTTCCAAGTGGAGATGACCTCTGTTGCTCTCTGAGCTCAGACTATTTTTGGCAGGAGGCAAATGAAGCGAGGGCCTGCCTTGGAAAGGCAGAGCAGCTGCCAGCCCCTGTAATTAGCCAAAAGGCCTGTGGAGTGTGGACAGGAGGCTGCAGAGCACGTGGCTCCTGCCGTGGCACTGCTCAGTCCGGAACAGCGCCTGCAGGAATGTGAAACCCAGCCAAGCCCAGATATTGCAGCTGATCCCTGGGGAGGCCTGAGCCCCTCATCTGGGGCTGAACAGTCTCAGTGTGCCCTGGACAGGGTGCTCAGGGCTGAGAGCCTTTAGAGCAGGAAACACAACCCTTGGCCTGCACATGGGACTGATTCAGTCCTTACCAAGGGCCTCCAAACATGCCTGGATGTAATAATTGCTCAGAGTAAACTGGGACTTCGATGACCCTGAATTGCAAGAGAATGACTCAAATACACAACTATGGACTTAATCATTTATGTGTGTGTTTAGTGTAATTGTAGGGGACAAAGAATTACTACAGGCAAGATTTCTCTGGCAACCTCTGAGTTATTGAAGCTATTGTATCTCTTTATATGTAAATTCCAGGCCTGCCAAGAGCCTGCAAAATGCAAAATACCTTCTACTGATAATTGAAAATGAACCTGAGGGAGTTTATGAAGGCTTAATTTTCTTTTTCTTTTTACACTGTCCCATGTCATATATGGAAGGCAATTAAGGAAACAAGACAACTAAGATGTTTGTCAGAACTTTTACTACAAATATTTTCCTTCCATGATATTTAGTAGGAAAACCACACTTAATTTTTCTCAAAGCAATATAGTCATTGATATAGGCTGGCTTAAGGATGCAAAGAATGAATATATTACAGTCAGGGGTCAGAGTCATAGACACGGGCTTGATATCAGAGGCTATAGGTGATGAATATTTCCACGGCAAGATTCCTCAGTTGCTGCTTTCCTCCATGGGCAGTAGCACAGCAGTGTATTTGTACACTCCCCAGAAAAGCCAGATCCAGAGCCAGTTACTGGCTGGAATTTTGTCTGTTTCTAACCAAGCACAGTTTGTCTGTAGGCATGAAACCAAGCAAGCATGCAAGTAATAGGGGAAGATGTAGCGCAGCCTGCTTTACTCAGTGTGTGGAGCTATACATCAGTTCCACTGCTTTTTCAATTTCTTTTTGTCTCCTTTCTTCTTCAAGCAGTGAGGAATCTTTCTCAAGAGCAGTCTGATTTGTGGGGTCTCTCAGTTCCTCATTAGCTGCATGAGTTAGGGAAAGTGGAAAACTCTGGGACTTGAAAATTACTTGTGTGAAGTATTTCCCCATCACTTCTGTGCTGTATTTCAGAAGCATTTTAGGTAACCAGTCTATTTCTCATTAGTACTCTTGGGCTATTCAATTTCCATGTGTATGTTTTTGTTTCACAGCTCTGTTTTTAATGTTTGAATGAGATAGGGAAGGAAAAAAAGCACCCCACCTTGCACAGGAGAGAAGTGTAATCGTCCAAGGTGTGTTTTGCTGTAGCATCTTATGGCTTTAAATTTTTTGTTTTTGTTGAATTTGTTAGCTCAAACTGCAGGGATTTTGACTTGGATTGGTGTAGATTTTGATAATGATCTTCATTTGCTCACTTCAAAACTTCCCCTAAAATCCTTCAACATTTTTTCCTAGTCTTCACAACTTTGCTGTGATACCTGACAGGGATGCCAGATGGCCCAAAGAGATAAACATCAAACAAGTAGAGTGTCCCTGCCTCCAGCCCTTTGATGGTCTCTGTGGTGACGGCTCGCTGGAGGTTTAGATCATAGAAGTACTTGCACAGCACTTTCTCTGATTTGTGCCGAGATTCAGGCCCAGAGCACCTGTCTGCACTCTGCAGTTCCCTCCAGATCTGATCCTCTTCAATCCTTTTTCTGTACACACAGTACTTGCTCTCCTCTTGTGTTCCCAGCCAGGCAATAGTCACAGACCTGCATGTTCTCAGTTTACTGAAGGACTTGATTTTTAAGCTCTCTGGAAGAAGTGGGAATAAGGGCTTGTGGAAATGGGGGGATGCCTGTACCTTCACAGAAGAGTCAGATTCCTCTGTGGACCTCAGCTGCACCAAATAGGTGTCCAGAGGCTTTCCCTTCAGGGAGAAATACCTCAGCCCAGAGAGATTTTCTGATGCCACTGTTTTGCCATTTCTTGCTATGTGAACCCGTATTTGGCCCTGACACAACTGAAAGGTGAAATGGATTTTCTTGTGCCTCGCCTGGTACCGCAGACTGTAGAATTTCTGCTTTTTCCCATCCAGGACCACATGAACCACTTTGCCATCTTTCAGCTCTGTCACCTTGGGTTCAGGTTCTTCTAAGGTCCTGGCGAATGTTCCAGTGTATGCGGCGCTGGCATTTGTAAGGAGATTGACAATAAAAACATCAAAGTAATACTGAGTGCTGGGGCTGAGATTGGGCACTGTGTAAGTGTTCTTGGTGCCCATGCACACCTGCCTGACTTCCCCACTGCTCACTTTGTTGATGATGCTCAGTTCGCTGTTGGACAATATCATCACCTGCTGCGGCTCAAGAAGGTATGGAGAGAGGGACAGAGCCAGCGTGGGGGGCAGCTTCATTCCAGAGGATCTGATGGCTGTCTCAGCAGCACACAAGCTCTTATAGTTGTGCTTTTCATTAACTAGGAGACAGTACTGGATGCTTTCCCTGTGCTGCAAGACAGAAGGGCTGTGTTTCCAGGCCAGAGTCACTGTTGTATGGCCGATGCCAATGACATCTATGCGTGGGTCCATCGGAAGCTCTGGGTAGAGGTGCCCAGACGTGGTGTCAGTTGTTAAGTACACGGTAATGTGTGTGTCTCGCTCAGTGGATAAGAACTCGAGCAGGTAAAGGGCAGAGTGGGAAGACATTCCCATGTAAGTCTCTACAGAATTTCCCTTGTAGTTGAAGATAGTGGACACCATGCTTGAAGCCTTCTGAGATTTGGAGATCTCTTGTGTATCATGGTCACCTGCAGGCAAAAAAGCAGACTTGTAACTTCTGTTTCAAAAGATGTGAAATAAAGCACATCATACAAGTTTTACTGTTAGGGAACATTTTATTTTCTTCTTGAAAGCAGCAATTATAACTAAGAATATGTTTTACTAAAACTATGTTGCTGCTGGCAATTTATTAAAATAAAATTTGAGAAGCTTTTATTTTAGCAGTGCAGCTGTAGAATTATGTTTTCAAAAATACTATAATTATGAAACCACAACTTGCAAAAGCTTGGCTTATATCATGCCTGATGCCCCTACAATTTTTTTCTTCTATTTGCTGTCTCTTAGGGTACTTTACTTTAAGGAGACTTATTATTCCTATGGTAGGATTTTTTTTTTCTTTGGATTAGTTTTAGGCCATTGTCTCATGAAGAGGGAAAACTTATCAATTCAAAGGAGTATAATTTGAGCTCCTCTGTCAGGTGTACCTGCTTGACAGGTAAGAACTTGTTAATGGCAGCTTTTAGATTTTTAGTTTGAAAAATTAATTCAAAAAATCATGCAAGAGAAAGGAATTGCCTTTTAGGGTAAAGGCAGTTTAGTACCCACTGTCATGGTAGATGTGGCAAGAATAAATGGCTAGATCTTCTCTGCTTCATGTGGGGAGCAAATTGTTGTCTCAAGTAACATAAGCCACAGAAAAATAACTGAGGCAACATTGGGAAGTTCAACCCAGTGCCAAGAGTTTATGCAGTTGGTCTCTTTGTGCAGCCTGGACAACCTGTAGTTGTTCCCAAATATTAACCTTAGATTTAGACATTTTCATATCTAATCCTTAATTTATTTGTGTTGAAGGCAAGATCTGATGGGTTTCCATGTTTTACCCATGGAGACTGGATCAATCCCTGGCAACTTAAAGGAGAGACCACAAAATGTTTAGGCTTGTGGGAAATTTCCTATAACACAGTTATTTATGAGTAACTTTCATTTCCTTTGTCTCTACTTAGGCAGACTGAAGGCCTTACCTGGTGTTGCTTTTCCTGGTGGAGACTTGTACACAAGTATGCTCCATTCAATGGGAACATCACAGGGCGTCACTGTTATTGAGAAAGGGGCAAGGACCCTGCCCTCTTCCAAAACAAAGTAGTACCTGTAAATGTGAATAGAAATAGAGGGAATGTATCTGGGAATTCAAAATTTCCCAAAACTCCTTGTAATCAGCCATTCTGATGTGTGTCACTTTGCTCTGGGTAGAAATGACTGTTCTCTGAGGTGCAACCACACAAAGGGATGATGAGTGCCTGCAGTCTTCTGCAGTCTTCAGCTGTAGGAAGAAAACAGACTTTGGGGTAATTCTTTTTTATCCACATGTATTTTCTGAAATATTAAGGCAATATTTTCCCCTCTGAGTTTTTTTCCACACTTCAGCTGAACATTGTATCTCATCCTTAGCTGGTTATTTTGGATGATGTATGTGATTTAGCTGACAGCCTTCTCCATAACCACCTGTTGCCAGTTCTACCTTGATTGCCTTTGTGTCAGAGGCTTCTATGTATCACAAAGGGACATCAGTCTCTTTGGTCAGGTTTTGATTCCTGCCTTGAAAAAGCCCAACCTCCTGTCTTGCTCTGTTTTATTTCTGTTGTTTTTATACAGACTGTATAATGTTTGGGCTTGGCCATAGAAAAGTTTGGATTTGGGTGCCTCACTCTGCATTTAAGCCAAGGCAATTGGCAATCCAAGGGTTTTTTGTTGTTCACCAGTGAGAGAAGCCTAGTCATTATGGATAGATCCTGTCAGCCTAGAGGTCTGGCTTACTTTCAGGGTATGGCTACTAGGCCAGAGTGAAGCTTCACTGGAACCAGTTCCACATTCTTGAGTCTTTTACTCTCAACCAAAACTTGTCATCACTTGTCTTCCTGCTGGGATGACTAGGGTTCAAAAGAACCTTCCTGATCACACTAAACTGCTTCCTAACTGCAGTCTTAATGTTATGCTGCAAGAGCATAGAAGAATTCCCTTTTCTTTGAGATTTCAGTACCCCTGGCCCTTTAACTAGGAAAGCCCCTAATTATGTTCTTGTGAGCATGGTCACATTATATAACTTGTGCCATGTTCCAGTTTTTCTGTGCAATGCACATGAAGATGAGCAGTCTGGCTCACCCTCTGCTCCATGACCATTTGGCTATATGTCAAAATCTGTATTTGCTGGTCTCTGTCCAAAGTGCATCTCTTCCCAAACAAGCAGATTGATCTTTGGTACCCAGATGCAGTACCAGTTGATAGCTAATCACCTACATATCTAGGTATGGCAGAAGACTTTGCAGATATTTTGGAAAGGTGAAGAATGTGGAATTTCCACATGCAAAGCACTTTTGATCTTAGCAACTTGTAGTGCCATTCAGCAAAAATACTTTTAGTGTGCAGGACAGCGGCAGAAGTTTTATTGATAAGATATCTGTGCAGATATTCTATTGATTTTTGGGATAGTTAATTTGCTGGGTAAAATGTTTGTGTTTCACCATGAATGTAGGATGGCTGCTGTCTCTGCAGACCTGAAGCTGGGCTGTTAGTGACACAGCTGTTTGCTGCTGGAGCCCACCCATCCTGTATCAATTCTGCTGCTGCTCTGACAAACACAGCAGAGAGCTGCTGAAATGTGTGCAGGAACCTAAATTTCATCTCAGAGGTCCATTCCAGATTCTGGGTAGTGTAATGACACGTGAGGAGTGGTGCATTCTTCTGGCATTTCAGTGTGCACTGATAGAGCCCTACAGGCACGCAGGAATTCTTGGCTTAGCCTGGTAGTGCGCAGTGTCCAGTGACACGGGGAAGTACCCGAGAATAGGAGTGGCTGACAACTCTTACCTTTTGGGTATATCCTTCAGCAGGTGAATTGTAGTTTCCTTACCATCTGCAAGTATCAGGGAGTGGTAGAAACTGAAGAGATTGGCCTTGAAGCTCTGTTGGGAACTGGTGGTGGGTACTTTTATAGAATGGCATAAAGAAGTCGCTGTGAGAAGATGGAGAGGAAGGTAAATCCAGAACCAGGACATCTTCAGAACTGCAAAGTGAGATGACATAAGTGAACAGAAATGGCTGTCATAGGAGAGAAAGTCATGTGATCCTCTTTCTGTGCCTTTTCTGGTATTTGTTGTAGTCCCAGCAAGCCAAGAATTCAAATAGTGCAAGTCTTTATTTTGCTGAATTGTTTAAAGTTCATGGAAACACTCCTCAGAGAATCTCTCTACAAAGATTTAATTGCAGAAATTGCTATGAAATCTTTGATTAGAGAAAAAAAATGTAGTCAATGCAACACAAGTGCAACATGAGAGTTATTCAAAATATTCTTTTTACTGCTGTCAGAATGAGTGGAAAATTACATTTAAAATATTTTTTCTAGTTTGTGATGTTCATTTACTAAATTTTAAGATGTAGTGGAACTGTACCTTTAAAAGTCACAGGAGGTCACTATGTCCCAAACCCTGCTTCTGCTGTTCTATCAGGGGTCATTGAATTTTTATTTTGTCCACTGGGGCTGTAGCTGTGCGTAGATAAGAGGATCATTGTACCTTATCCAGAGCTGTGTAAGATATTGTTTGGTCAAAGGTAGAGAATCCTGGATAAGAATCCCTAAACTGGTACTTAGATTTTGAGCTCTGTGTATCTCATTTGGAAGAAGACTTTATCACTGAAGGGCAGCAATCTTATTCTTAGACTTTTGTATTGCTTATCATTCTCATACCTGCATCACTTCCAGCCTGTCTCAGCATTTGCTGCTCACTGGAGCTGTAACAACTGTATTATATTCTCTCTGGCAAGATATTTTTAAAAAATCAGTTACGTCTCTTTTTGCAACAGGCCTTATTATCAGCTTGGAATCTATGAAAGAAAAGTAGAAAACCATTCCCCAGCAAATACTGGCATTATTTAAGCTGCTGTATGCATTGCCCAGAGCCACACTAAGGAAGAGACTCCAGTTAGGACAGGAAATTTTGATGGTACACTATGTGCAGTTATCGATTATAACTTACAATTCCTTTGTCTGCCACATCTGGTTTCAGAAAGTATGAAAGTGGAAAGGGCATAGACCTTTAATACATGTGCCAGCTGTAGCTCAGGGATTTGGAAAGCAGAGGGAGCTCTGTGTGCAAGATCCCTTTTTTTGAGGAAAAAGTAGCCTATTGCATCTTACAAGCAGCTAGGAGTAAAGATCCTGGTTAAATCTGATTATTGGCTGGTGATAGGAGAAAACATACAAGACAAAGGCTCAATTCTTTGTAATTTTTTTTCTTTCTAAGATCAGCTCTTTCCCCACAGTGTCTGTAAAAGTGTGGAAGATTTTAGGTGGTCAAATCTTCAGTTCAGCACACCCACTGTCCAGTGCAGTTAAGGTGACTTTATAAAAGGACCCCTTCCTTTTTAAATCCATTTCAAACACACATTTAAATATAGCATTAAATACATCTGAGGGGCTTTATGTACAAAATCTTGGATTCCCATAGTCAAGCACATCTTTAGTATCAATGAGATGATTATGGAAATTATTGTTTCCATAAAATTCAGATGTGATCTGAATGTCCCTCTCAACATCCAGATAAAGCTGGTTTATTCTCTGTCTGTTTGTACTATTTTAGCACCTGGTTGAATGCAGCTTAAACAACCATCTAAACAAGTTGAAAGAATATTAAGATTTCTATATCAATTCAATTTTAATTATCTTATAACAGCTTTTCCTCATGACTCTGAGTCGGTTTGCCACTTTGTTATTCCTGATGTCTAATTATAGCTTACACATTTAAAATAGAACCCCAAATATTTTGCTTTACCTTTGACAGTGGAATCTGAGTTGCTCTGTGCTTTGGAGTGGATTTAAAAAAGTCTTCCTGCTGCTTAAATGACAGGATCTTGCAAACCACATTGATACCACAGCAGCTCAGCTTTTCTTCTCCAGGAAAACAAACAAACCAAGCGATCAACAAACCTATAATCAGCTTATCCCAAAGAGACCATTATCCCAAAGGCTATTTTCACTCAACTACACAAAACAACATATTCTCAGACTGTTGGAAATATGTTACACAAAAAAATACTGTGCTTACCTATTGTGTTCCTGGCTAGATGATCCTCAGAGCACTTGTTTTCTTTGCCAAAAAAGCATAAAAGAACATAGACTTTTCAGATCTCTGTAGGCAGATGAAAATCAAAACTGTGCAACCAGTTTAACAGGACAGAACTGATTTTTCCATATGGCTCCTGAGCAGACATAGCAACTTAAATGCTCGCGGTCCTTCAAGAAAAGTAAAAAATAAAATAAAATAAAAAAATGCAACAGGATTTTGGTATTTTCTTCAGCTGGGTGTTTTCAAAGGTTGTTTTAAAGTTGCCCAGTTCTGCAGTCTCCTGAGCCCTGATGGTTGTTCCTCCAGCTCTTGCGCTGCTGGAGCTGTGCAGCAGTCGGGCTGTGCTGCCTGCGGAGCCCGGGACGCTGCTCCTGCACCGAGTGTCAGCCAGACTGCTCCTGCAGCCTAATCCCAGCACTGCCTGCCCGGGGTCTGGGACTGAAATGCACAGTGAGGAGGAGGGGGTGAGATGGAGAGAGGAGCAAACACTGTTAACCCTTATCAGCCCTTAATCCAAGCCAGCCAGGGGTGCACCACTCTCCTCCAGAAAACTACTTTTGTGTTGGCAGCTTGATGGCCCTCCCAAGGAGTGTGTGATCTCCCTGCCCTCAGCACTGCAGAAGCTCCAGATAATTTCAGGTGCACTGAGCTTCTGCTGCGGTGCTTTATGGGCCTAACAAGTGCTGACCTAAAGCAGGGAAGGCAAAAAAAGCTGCTTTTTGGGAGAGAGTGCTCTGCGTTTTTAAAGCTGACTGGAATTAGCAATCCTTTGAAGGCTGTCAGGAATCTTTTGAATAGAGCTGAGCAGTTTTCTTGGCTTAGAGAGGCTGTGTAAGAAAGAAACTCCAGAAGTGTCTGGGCTGGGGGAGCATTTCTGATGTGAAAGCAGTGTGTCTGAGGGAGGAGGCAGCAAAAGGGTGCATGGGAAATGGCTCACAGCGAGCCAAGCACTTGCTTTTGGGGCTACAAAGCAGTTGTAGCAAAGCCATGGTTCTTTTCATGCCTCTCCTGCTGAGTGAGAGCAGTGTATGGCTAGGATTCACATGCTGCTTGTACTTCTTGGCCTGGGATGTCAGGAGAGATGCCCTGGGATTGCTCCTGTGGGGATGCCTGCTCAGAAAGGCAAGCCCCAGGAAGCAGCACCAGGCAGGCACTGTGCAGGGGGAAAAGAATCAATATTGCAAGGAGGCTCTATTTTTAAATAAAGTATCTTGTCCAGTGTTTGAAGAGTGACTTGCAGTAACCCTTTATTATTGTATCCCTGGATTCAGAGTTAGATTGTTTAAACCTTCACAAGACTAAAAGTTTGGTAAGAGGGGGAGGTCAGGGAGAAGCAGAAAGATGTTTCAACAGATTTTGCATAGCAGATCCTTCTGAAAATATAGATTTACTCATCAATTGATGTAAGAAAAATATTTACAGTGTAGAAGATAGCAGAAATAATTAAGGTGTTCATGAATTGTTTGCTGAAAAATTTTGCTGAGCAACTGGCCTTTTAAAAAGGGACAGCAAGTGGGAACCTTGGTACAGGCACTGTATGATCAGGGTATTGGCACTGTGAAGCTATGAGGACATTGCTGGACATTTGCTAGAAAACTGGCAAAAGCAGGGTCAATGGCAAATGGGGTCTGTCAGACAAACCATCATTCTGTTGTGAAATCCAGTCCAGGTCAAGTCTGTGTAACAGATCTGGGAACTAATGCAAATGTAAGCACCTAGCCAGAACAAAAGTGTTTCCTTAATGGAAGAGGAACAGGAGAAAAAGGTGTTGATGCAAAGTCCAGTAAGGTCCCAGAGCAGGCCTGAAAGAGGGAAATGTAGGTCAGATGAGGTGCATAAAAAATGTGCCCTGAAAACAGGACATGAAATTTGTTTTCCCAGAAAAAATATTGCTCACAATATAAGTGCAGAGACTACAGTCTGGTTTTTGCTGGGAATTTGGAGGGACTCATAGGTGGAAGACAGCAGGGAGAATTGTAGGCCAGCAACCAGTGCTAAGTAGGAATCCCTGTGGGCAAATCTCCAAAGCAGATGTTACTCATGTCTGGTAAAATCCCTAAATCTGGACAGAATGGACATCTTTGTTGTAGAAGGGATAGACTCTTGGTCTTGTCCTCTCCAAACCTCCCCACTGCCATCAAAACAAACCATTACCCTCAGCAAAGTTCACCTTCCAGGGAAGGCGATGGGAGTCTTTCCTTTGACCATCGTTTCAGAGTTGGGAGTGAAATTCACGAAGGAACCCTCTGTCTCCCACTGAATAAAACACAAGCAAGGATATCAGGTAAAAAGGCTGGTGATGGTTTAAGCATGGAAATAATCCAGTTCCTCTCTGGACAGTTTCTCATGTACTTCCCATGTGTGTCTGCTTACATGCTTTGCTGGAGCAGAATCTGTGCTCGCCAGTTTTCAGAGAGGGTCACTGAAGCACTCTCAAAGGGGAAAAAAGTATTCTCTATGGAGAAAGTTAAGAGCTATATTCATGGCTTGTATAGCTTGACTGAACGCAGTGAAGTTACAACAGGGATAAATCAGTCCTTGATTTTGCAAAAAATTGGTATAATGGCCTTTTCAGTAGAAAAAGTCTGTAATGAGCAGGCTCTGCTTCCCTCAGAGCCGAGTCAGTGACTTCAAGAGGGCTGTTCAGAGATCCTACTTCTGTTCCAACCCTGCTGCCCATCCACACCTTTCATAAATGTGAGAGACAGAGCACCTTTGACACCAGAGACTTGATTTATACTCAGTTATGTAGTAGCTCTGCTAAAAGATCGGTAATCCTAAAACAAAGGAGGTGCTTTGAAAAGGGAGCAAAAAGCCAGACGCGGGGGCTTAGCTTGAAGCTCTCAAAGACGCTTCAGATGTTCATTTCCTGGAAGTGCAGTCCAAAGTTCTGTACTCAGGTGAGGGATTCTGCAGGCCAGGGGAGTGTCCTGCAGTCCTGGCAGCTGTGTCCCACAGCAGGCCCTGCCTGCAGCATTCTGTTGCTCTTTCATGGCATGCCTTGCACAGGGATGTTTGGAGGCTCACCCCACAGAGCATAGCTCTGAGAATTGGATCATATTGCTTTGGACTTGGCAGGGAATTGCAAAAACATGGACCACCGGTATTTCTGATGAAGAATTTCCCTGCCCTGGCAACCCTTCTTTGAGCTGGTTTGGTCACTTCCATCAGGAAACTGTCTGTGGGAAGGGTAAGGAGAGCTCCAGTCCTCCCTGTTAGAGTGATACAGGGGAGAGTGGGAACAGGGATGCAGTGTCTTCTCATCCACCACCCAGCTGTATCAGCCCCTGGCTGTTAATTCTGGCAATTCCCAAGCACAGGGAACTTCCCTGTGCCCCCAGCCCAGCCTAGGGAGTTCTGTCTCATGAAACTCTGTAAGCAAATTAAAAATGCATGGGGAAAGAAATCTAATCTTTCAGGTATTAGGTGAACAGTGTTCTCCTTTTCTGTCTTTTACACATGCACATATGTACTCTAACAACTGAGGTAGAATTGTTAGTCTTTGGCTCCCAGCTACCTGTCTGCCTTTTCAAAAGGCATTCAAAAATGCCTTTTGAACTAATCTCCCTGCATAAACTACTTCATAACCCTGAGCAGAAGTTGCTGTGGCTGTCTAGTGGGAAGAATTATAGCATCCAAACACATTCTGCATTTTCTGTGGCTTCAAGTTGCAATCTGTTCCTCTTAGCAAAAGAATCTGACTTTCCTTATGGCTATGGAAAGGGGAATGCAAATTTCTGTAAAAATCCCCTTTCAAGTGGAAAGGTTGTTCAAATCATTGCTCGATAGTTACTGGAACCAGCACATCTTTGATGATTTAATGTACTTGTGGTTAGTATCATTGCTCAAAAAATATCATCCTAGACACACAGCTGGGCTCTAGAAAGAATCACACTTTCCTTTGAAGCTGTGGAAGTCAATCCTAAGCAAAAGTCTGGCCCTTGAAACCTACTGTGAGGGTATTTTAGTGGGGAATCTGCTTTTATTTTTTCCTGGTTTTGTCAAATCCTGGCAATGCAAAGGATTGTCAAATGAGAAAAGCCCTAACTCTGATCCTATTCAGAGGCATTAAGAAGCAGGGAATTGCTTCTAAGTCAAAGGCAGACTTGAACTTTTGCTGCAGCCTGTGCCCAGGTGAGAATATAGGAATAGGTTGTTTAGGGGGCTGGTGGGTTATCCTGGCAGTATGTAGTGGGTTTGTAGGATAAAAAGTCAGTGATTTACACTTTGGACTTGTAGCTCCTATTGTGGCATGTCTGTGTTGAAAAGTTCTCAGGGAATGATACAGTGATAATTGATATCCACTAACATTACTTGAGTTTTTCCTCAGCAGTCTCTCTCCAGAATAAGATGCTGGCACTTGAAAATTATCTTTTTTGCTGCTGTTGAAACTAAATGGGGTCTTGAGGGGTTTTTTAGTGACCAGCAAAATAAAAAATAAAAAAAAATACCTGATTGCTACTCACTGTTCTCATATTCCATATTTTCAAGAATGTTTGTAATTGCTCAGACAAGTCTCTCAAGAAATGATGGATATGAAGTAGGGAATATCTCCTGTGCAAAGCTGATTTTTGCAGGATGTGAGAAATTGCTTTTGAGATTAGTATATTCAACTTTATGGGAAAATTCCTTATTTTTAGGGTAAATTTGTTCTTCCACAAGTGTAAATTCAGTGCAATAGAAAGATCTTAAAGTACTTAGCTAGGAGTCAGTATTACACTGACAGCCTCTCTATGAGTTAAAAAAGAAAACATTTTGAAAATCCTGAGCTGCTACTTTCATCTCCTTTTCCTTTTACCATAGCCCCCAGGCTTCCAAGATTTTAGGTTAAATAGTTCCTTAGCAAACACCTACAGAATTCCCTAGAAGTCATCAAAGCAGCATAAAGTTTGGGCAGGTATGGAAAAATAAGGTGATGTTTCCAGCTTAGTGAAAACTGCTGGTTATCTCAGTTAAGAAAGTCACAGGCAGAATGAAGTGTTTTTGTCTGTAATTAGTACACTGTTCTAGTAGGGTAATTCTGTATTTGGTTTTTAGCTACAGTGTTGTTTGTTTTATATGACAAAGAATTAAACTTGTGTAAACAGAACTAATCTAGCCTGGTGGACAAGGAGCATCCAAGTGTTTCCTGTGGTGTAGGTTCTGAAGTGTTGGGTCACTCCTTTCAGCATCAGCTTAGAGAGGGGCAGGGAATGCTGAGCAGGCAGACTGTCCTTCTAACAAGCAGGGACCTGCTGACTTTCGTGCATCTTTCAATGCTCTCGGATCCTGTACAACTCCATGAGATTTTCAAAAACCTCTTCAGTCTGACCAAGAGGCCTTTCATCTACTAGAT